TAGATTAATAATATCAAGATATAGATCAACAGCCGCTAGTACATATTCTGAAAGGGAAGATAATCATGTAAGAAAAATAATAATCAAAACCAATATCAATAAACTGTTGAAAGAAATATCTAGAATTACCTTCAGGACTAACCCTTTTGGTTAACATATAAGTGTCATAAATGATATATGCACTAAACAAAAGAGCAGCTACTGCGCTAATAACGATATTATAACCACGATCGAATGGAAGAAACCATCCAAAAATAAAAGCAAAGATTAAAACCCAAAGGGTTGCATATAAAAATGGACCCCAAGAAGAAAAGTCCCACTTTGATTGCAAGGTGAAAATTTCAAGAGCGATAAAAACCCCAAAAGTTATTAAAAAAGCTTCTAGTACGATCTGTTGAGAATATAAAGACACTAATCGAAAAAAGACAAATGAGATCGTAAGAGAGAATGAAAAAGAGATAAAGTTTAATAAATCAATTACACACTCACCTACAGAGCCTATACCATATGAAATACATAAGGTAAATAAGAGCAATAGAATTAAGTTAAATGGATGTCTCTTGCGTAGCCAAAATAGAAGAATCAGCACTAAGAAAGCCACAAGCCAGGAAATATAGAAAAGTAATTGACTAAAGAGGACAAACAAATTATTTACAGAATGAAATAAAATAACAAGAATTGAAATCATGAAACATACTAGTTATTCACAAAATCTTTTGCGGGCTGATAGAACATAAACAATAGGGAAACTCCAACAGTTGTAAGTAGTTGAAGAGTAAGAAGGCCATACACTTTTCTTACAAAAGCTATTATTTACGGATAAAGAAGGAATGGACTAATGAATAAAAGAAAATTTTATTACAGATAGTCAAAAAATTTACGTACCCATTCTTATTTGCTTATCAGTTTGTAAGGTATTTTTTATTTCCTGAGCTTTAGCGGCATCATCGGGAATTTCAACTATATGACTATCATCAGTGAGTTTGCGATCTTTTTCAATTTCATTACTATAAGTTGGAGGTGAAAGAGCTTGAGAAGATAGTGCCATTTGGTATTCTTCTTCTGCATAAGCATCGGATTTGCTTGGTTGCAATGGTGATAAAGTTTGTGAAGTGGTAAGATTTTCGGGATGAACAGTTGAAACCTGTGTTAAAGCGCCTCCAACAAGACGATCGTGACTATTATTAGATATTACGTCTGATGGAGAATGAGAAGTCATTAATTCACGTGGAGAAATAGTTGTAGCATTTTGAGGATGTGATGTATCGATATTATCGATATTTGATTTATTATTCAAAGATATGTTTGCATCCTCATTTGACATGTTTTTCTGATCTGGAGGGTAAATATAAATTATAAATTGTGCAGAGAAGGTTGAAGATGATTCGGAGACTCGGCGTTTAGAATTATATATATGTATTACAATATTTAAAATTATAAAAACAAAAATTTGCTGGTTGTCCAGACAAACGAGCAAATAATTGACGACAGAGAACTCCAATAAAATGAGAATTGATTTAGTAGATGCAATTTATAAAAGAATGTATGAATAAAAGAGTACAAAAGCACAAGAATATATTTTGTATGTCCTTTTTCGTCTGTGTACGTATAAGGAATAATATATACAGTGAATAAAAAAAATTCGTATCTTATTACTGTATTAAGGAACCAAGCAAAAGACTGCCTGTATGTATTTGATACATCTAAATACATATCCCCCTAAATTTGTACACAGTTTTATATTGGTAGTATTCGAACATTCGTAATACTTTGCTCAAAATGATGTCCAAAAACAATGTACTATTCTTTAATTTCAACGCTTACTTTTAAAGTCAATTCATACCCATCAAGTGGCTATAACACCCTCCCAAATATGTGCTAACGTTAATAATATTAAAAACATTAACCTGTTAGGCGCCAAAAACCTCTTTGTTCAACAAGTCACATAATTTATGCGTAATACATTAAGTGGTAGCGCCAATAGCGCTTATATTTATCCGTCAAATACTATTTATAGATACTGAATATGTACAATATATTAAAGCAGTAATAGTTTTAATGATCCTGATCAATAATTGCTATTAATAATCTCAATACTGTATATAAATAGCTCTCGATAGAAAATCAAAATACAGTATATCATCATTAAATTTTTGTTACACTGATCTATACATACCTATTTATATTGCATTTGTTTGAATTTTTAAGTGAATTTGATAAAAGATTTATTTGGCATTAAAGTGTGCTCTGTTTATAATTAAGCCACCCTAGTTGATATTTTGATTCCAATAATACAGTAATATATCTAGTTTTGGTTATTTTGTTAATTAAAATTTTCTATTCTAGAATGAAGAAACTTCTGCAGTATTGTTACACCGATCTCGACATTCTACGCGCAAGATAAATAGTGTAAGTGTAACTTGTATCTACATGATACAAAGATAAAATGTCGAATTCTCCTAAATTATTCGGTCGTAATTAAGGTAATTATACATATATACACACATACATACATACATACATACATACATACATACATACATACATATGTACGAGACGGGGTAAGGTAATTACTGTATTAAGTATTATTGAGATTGAGTATATACTAAGCTGAATTTTTAAAATAAATGCGTCTATGCAAGCAAGCCAGGTAAAGATTTCTGTTATTGACAATAAGGAAAATTAGCAAAAGCTATGTTATGAGACGGTGTGAAACAGTTTAAAATTATATTATGAAGATATTAGAGTTTTTTTTTTATTAGAGTACAAGGAGGCAGTTTGTTTGGTAGTTAAAGTCTGGAGTCTCTTGTACCACTATACAAATAAAGCCATGTGAAAATAATACTTTTGGAAATGATTAATGCAGTTGATAATAAACGTAATTTCATTAATTTATTTGGAGAAATACGAGCAAAGCTATCATTGATAACAACATGATCTTAATGTTTTCTATTCGCTTTAACCTCGGTGTTTCATTGTTTCGGCTTTGGCTTTCGACATCATGAAGAATAATAATAACCCGAGTATATATAGATCTATATAGATTTAAATCATTATATTCTCAACAATTATTTGTATACCAGTTATACACTATATAGTTAGTGATACAAATCGCCAAAAATTTTTCAATCGATTAGTTGGGTTGTTCAAAATTTTTAATCGATTAGTTGTCGACTAAACGATTATTCGATTTTTAATCGATTTTTAATTATAAGTTGGCAAAGATTTTTCAATCGATTAGTTGTTTTTTTCAAAAATTTTTCAATTGTTTAGTTGTCAACTAGACCAACTAATCGATTTTTCGATTTTCGATTTGTATCAACATATATTAGGTACAGTACGTACGCACACATTGCGGAATATCTGGAACGCTAATTTACAAAAGATTTCAGAATTCCCGGAATGACATTTTCCTAGACTAGTTCTCAATTAATTTAAATATTTAGGTATATATTATAAAATTAATTAACTCATTGAAATAATTTTTTGGATACTGGTGTGGCATTTTTCTTGTTATGTAGTTTAGGCAATGTCCTGATTGGGTTCCCGGTGGATGCCACGAGCCACTCGGGTGGAAAGCCCCACATACGTTGGTCATCAGACGACCCGTTTTCCACTCGGGTTAGTTGAAAAAAGCCCAACGTAGGTCACCCAACAGGTTACGCAGGTTATTTAAAAGTCACCCGGTAAAGCATGTTTGAAGTAAAAAATTTGATTGGAGATTAATTTAATTTATTGTTATTGTAATTTTGTAAACCTGATTTATATGCTGCTCATATATAAGTTGGAATTTCTTTAACACTTCAACCCAATTGGAGATAATTTTTAAAAAATTTTAATTTTAAAAATTGCAATCCGAGAGTCAGTAATTAATTATTAAAATTATGTATGGGATTATAAAAAGTAAACGCCTCTTATTCCATAAGCCCTTCTAAGATCAAATGTTTTTTAATGCCTATTATATAATATAATTATTAATACCGTAAAGTATGGAAAATAAGCACAGCACTCTCTACCCTGCCTTTTCAATTTCAGATTAACGGGAATAACTTGATTAAAGGTTTTATTGCTATTTCCGCTAATATGAAATTGAAAAAAGTAGGGTAGAGGGTGCTGTGCTTATTTTTCATACTTTACGGTATATTCTAATTCTGCATTAACTATAATAATTAATACATATTCTGTTCAAGATAGCATAGACCAAAGAAACTCTCTCTTTTGGCAAATATATTATGATCCTCTTCTTACCAAAATTACATGTATTTACACAAGCTATACTATCAGTTTTCCTCTATCTATAACTATCTAGTATTTATTCTCTATCTAGCCTATATAGACAATATAATCTAGTTAGTATACTCAAAAGAAGAATTAACAAATATACTACAAATAGCCAACTCTTTTTATACTCTAACCAATATTAGAAAACAGAATCTGTTAAGAGTTCAAAGTATAAATATTAAATATAAAATTGGTTAAATTTTTTATATAATATATATTTTTTATAAAAATAAAAAAAAATCAATAGTATGATAATTTAATAATAATAAAAAAGCTACAATATAATAATATAATAAAAAAAAGTTTAACAACAATAATTTAATATATTTATATAATATACAGTATCCTACCATATTATTACGGACACTTTTTAAAAAGTTGTACAGAGCTAAATATGTAAGATATTAAGCTAAAAATCAAATTATAAA